AGAGAGAGAGAGAGAGAGAGAGAGAGAGAAACCAGGGGTACAAATCCGCATATGGAGTCTCTCTGCAGTTTTTTTTTTTTGAAAACAGCTCCATCTATTGGTGGGGAGCAACACCTGCTGGAAACCGGGTCCAGCGTCCCATAGATACAACCATTACCTCACAAATTGGCACGAACTGGGAACCGGGCCCAGCGTCCCTTAACGGATACCTTCAGATTTGTCACTGAAAACCTACTGAAACAATCCAATTAACCTAAGAATAGTTTTGGAAAATTAAGATACCGGGGCCGTTACCCGGCTTTGACTCAGAGATGTTGGAGCACTTGAGACATGTCTACAAATGATTTAGAGAAAATGTCAGGAACAACTCAAGAGAACCCCCCATCACACCACTTTACCTCACTCCTGCAAGACTGACTGCAGCAGAGCCACCATCTCTGCTGCTGCTATACCACACTCCCATCCTACCAGCTAGCCCCCTCGCTAGCAGGACGCATGATAACCCACCCTCTGTTCCTACTCACCTTTATTGAGGTTCCTAAGAGTTTCCTTTTTTAGAAAAGGTCAAAACCCCCTAACAATCCCCTGCTCCCCACTCCAGCAAGACTTACTGCAGCAGAGCCACCATCTCTGCTGCTGCTGTGCTCTATTCCCATCCTACCAGCTAGCCCACTCACTGGTAGGACGCGTGATACCCCACCATCTTTTTTCCAAAAACTGCAATCGCAGCAGTTCTGTCTTCGTCATCGAAAGGGAGGTTCTGGAAGACCAACAAGTACAACAGTTCTGTCTTCGTCATCGAAGGGGAGGTCCCGGGTCTGTTGTAATAAGGTCGGCTGACCGCGGCCGGTACCCATCGAGACTCTGCTCAATGCCAATCGCATCCGTTCTCAACCAACCGCATCCAAACCCCCTTCACCCACCCAACTCCGTCCTAGTAAAGGGTTCGAAGAACCATATCCATAGCGCAAGCCAGACACAATCGTCATCCTGCAATCTCCTGCCCCCTCAGAGATTCCAGTTTCCGTCATTGAGAGGGTAAGCCAGCGCTGCCTAAGGCCAATTGCACCAGGATGATCCGTCATCAGCCGGTACCCATCCGACAACTAAAGCTGCCCGATGCCAATCGCATCTGATGAAAGATCCCCCAGCCGGTACCCCTCAGACGACCTGATTCAACCCTCTCTCCGTCCTCACAAAGAGTCATCTCGTGCCTTTTACCCGCCACCTTAAACAGATCCCCAAAACCCAACAGAACCTCCACTCACTTGTCCCCCCTTCACCTCCCCAACTCCGTCCTAGTAAAGAGTTCGAAGGACCATGTCCTCAGCAAGAGCCAGACACAATCATCACCCTGCAATCTCCTGCCCCCTCGGAGCCAATCGAGGGAGTGGGTCAGCACTGCCTGAGGCCAATCGCGCCAGAGTAAACCCTCATCAGCCGGTACCCATCCGACAACCAAAGCTGCCCGACGCCAATCGCATCCGATGGGATTTCCCCTAGCCGGTACCCCTCAGACCACCCCGATACAACCCTCTCTCCGTCCTCGCAAAGAGTCATCTCGTGCCCTTGCCCTCCATCTTAGACAGATCCCCCAAAACTCAACAGAACTGCCCCATACGAATTTACAAAATTTGAAGCGAATTTAAGCCAGATATTTGGGACCACATGCAAATTACCACTCGACCAATACTATGAAGTTCTCAGTTCATTTGTTCGACAAAAAAAGAAATCCCTAATCCAGAAGTCCGTTGAGATTCAAATGATTTTGAAAATCCATAGGAAACAAAATAGGAAAAGAGTCTGATATCCGCTCGAACTTTTGACTCTGATTTCCAGAACCAAGGTTCAGGCCATAGGAAACACAACTAGGACAAGAATCTGATGTCCACCCGGACTTTGACTCTGATTTCCAGAACCAGAGTTCAGGAAATCGATAAGACTGTAAGTCAGAAAATTACTAATCGGAAAAAACTTGTCGTATGAGCATCTAGACTATGACGTAGAAAGAGTGCACAGATAGCACAATTATTGGATTATCGTTATTATTGAAAAAAGAAGCTCTATAGAAGATAGAAAGTAGCAGAGAGACACAAAAAATTGCTTTAAGCAAGGCTCAGAAAGAGCAAGATCATGTCAGACAACGATCAAAATATGTGTGAAAAAACGCTCAAATCTAAATCTAACACAAAACAATCGAAAAGAATTACGAACTACCAATCAATTGTATTCTTAGGATGAAAGTATTTCAAAGATAGAATCAGAGGAAGCACTCGAAAACAATCAGAGATTTCACAATCAAAGTAACAATTTAACGATCATTATCCGAACTATAGATCTCAAATTATAAGAAAGCCAGGCGGCGCGTGGGCTGAAACCGAATTCACTAATGCCAATTCCCTTCCCTTCTTCCTCAACTCAACACTTACCCCTCACCTCTCAAACCCTACCCCTGCATCTTTGGGGAAAGAAGGACCACCTTCCTCCCACTGCTAGCATCTGGGCTCGGAGCAAAGCTAACACCAAAGATATAGACGGCCATCTTCGAGCCCTCAAAGGAATCGAAAACGGTGTGACACCCCTCGCCAAACCTGCTGACGAGTCGCCACAGGGAGTTCAAGCCTAACTCTACCTTTCCCATGCTGTTGAGGAAGGGGGAAGGGTTTACAACCACAAGACAAGGAAAGCAGGTCCCACCTACCTGGATCATAGAGACAGGACTCCACACTCCCCACAACACCATATCCTACCCTTCCCTCATCGCCAAACTCTCTCCTGCCTTACCTTCTCTTGCCTCGCGTCCATGCGTCTTCACCCCTTCACGTTGCCTAGCTCTTCAGATCAGATACCACGACAGAGATGTGGAGCCGACGAGGTCATTCAATCATCATGCGAAGTGAACACGATGACGGGCTGCAAGATCGTAGCTCACCATAGCCACTTCGACAGGGATATGGAGCCGACGAGGTCATTCAATCATCATGCGATGAGAGCACGGTGATGGGCTGCAAGATCGTAGCTCCCTCCTCCTGGCACTCGTGATGTCCGATCCTGACAACTACGCCGTTCGCCACGTCATTCAGCCGCGTCGCGCCACCCACCATCCTGACCTCCGCGATGAAAGGCAGCGACTCCCCCCACTCGCGACCCCTACCCCCTCAACCGTACATCCGCGACGCCCGTCCTACCCCTTCCCGCTGACCATCACCACTCGCCAAGACCGCCATGAACGATGGTTCGCTCCCGCGTCGCACCCTTGCCCGACACCACTCTGACCAGTCTTGTGCATGCGGGGCGCAGCGCTCCCGGCAGCACCGACCCTCTAATCTCCAAAAGTCCGGCCTTGTTGACTACCTGTCTCTTATACACATCTAGATGTGTATAAGAGACAGGCTCCCGGCAGCACCGACCCTCTAATCTCCAAAAGTCCGGCCTTGTTGACTACCTCGCAAAAAGGACTGATGGAAAACCCTCTCGAGAGTCGTCGGACAGCACTCTCGAAGGTCACTCTTTTTTTTTTTTTTTTTTTTTTTTTTTTTTGAAAAAAACAACCCGAGTGGATGCTAGGGGTGCTGATAAGAGCAGACACCACTAGCACACTAGCATGCTCGGGGAGGCTCCATCTATTGGTGGGGAGCAACACCTGCTGGAAACCGGGTCCAGCGTCCCTTGACATTTTTTTTTAACAACCTTGCTGAGAATCAGGCTCAGCGTCCTTTAAGAAATACTTAAGGGGATGCCAGCAGAGATAGTCTATACATCCAAAGTATTTGCCTGCCAGTATGAAGAATTGGGA